GAATCTTCCATTCCTGTTCCTTAAAAGCCCCCCTCATATACCTGATTTGCGGGCGGCTTTAATCGATTGGATCTCACGCGAACAATTTCTAAAATTCGACACACCGCACATCGTCACGCTGCGATTTGATGTTCAGGATCCGTCACTTTGAGAACTTACGACAAACGCATTTCTCAACTAAACGCATATCCGCTTAGCAAAATTACTCGCCCTAGGCTTAGCTACAATCTCCAATTTGAATCACTTAAAAATATGTTCTAGAAAATGGAACTTATATGATTACGTTAGACGATTGAAAGGCGGAAAGAACAAAGGAAGGACAACGAAAGTGGGCGAGAATGGAATTGGAAGGGCGTATTGAATTGGAAGTAAATAGTATGTTTATACTACCATATTGCGTAAATGTGTTGAATGATATACTTTTGCCTATAAAATGATATTTGCCATCACAAAGCATGCACGAAGAAAAAAAAGGAAAGCAGAAAAGGGAACTAATATGATTACGTTAAATAGTTGAAAGATGGAAATGAAAAAGGAATGAAGACGAAAGTGGGCAAGGATGGAGTTGGAAGGGCGTATTGAATTAAAAGTACATAGTACGTTTACACTACCATATTTTTTACATTCCTACTATTTCATGCATATTCAGGAAAAGGAGATGTGTGAGGTATAAAGCAAGTACAGGAAAGCAATTTGAAGATAGTGTTGAAAGGTTAAACGACAAAGGTTGAAGTATGAAAAGCAAAAGAACAAGAAGGCGAAAGAATGCAAGGAAGCGGCAATAATGAGGAATAGGTATGATCAAGGCTGGACCAAGGGCTGCACTAGACAAACAAAGAAACTACAAGAAGAAAGCAAGAAAGTAGACAAGGAAGAATGAAGTGGAAACCAGAGAGGATAAACTACAAGAAGAGAATAAGTATTTCATACTAGAACAGTAATGGAGACATTTAAAAGAATGTTTAGGAGGAAACGGATCATAGGTAGAAAAAAACTACAGGCAAATATTAGTGTAAAGCAGAATGAGCTAGCATATAAATCAGAAACACGACGAAGAGTAGCGGACTGGAAGAGACAAGAAGAAAGGAAGTTAAATAATAGAACAGGAAGGAAAGAGAATGGAATGAAGGAAAATCGAACGAAAAGAAACAAAAGGAAAAAAAGAGGTTGAAAGTAGAAGTCTTAAAAAGAAACGAAGAAAATAAAGACGTAGGGAAGCAAGAAAATTCTGTTAAATAGTTTACTCTTTGGAAGAATGAAGGAATGAGATGCACTAGAACGAGAAGAATGACAATTCAAGGAATGGAAAGAAACGACGGAGCAATAAGGAAACATAAGAAAGAATAGATTGAAGGTTTATTATTGACTATGAAAGAAAAAATAATGACATGAAATGTAAGCTAGGAACAAAACGGTAGAAATAAACAAGGCGGTAAGACGGAAAAATAAAAAGAAAGAGGAGCTATGCAGGAAGAAATAAAGATGTACGAGCATAAGGATAGCACTTGTACTAAATATGCAGCGACAAGAAGCATGGGGCGGCAAACTGAAGAAAGCAACGAGGTAAAAACGGTACTAGGAACAAGGGAAACAAAGGAACAAGGAAATAAAGATGACTCGCCAGGAAAGACACTATGTCAATGTACGTCAAAACACCTTGCGGTAACGTTTGAAGTTCTACGTTGGTTCAGGAACCGTGTACAAGAATCGTTTCCACAGGTAAAAAGGATGTTAATGTTAATCTTCGAAGGTGCCTAAAGCAACAGAAAATACTACCTCACATGGATTAAGAAGACTAAATCGTCACCGGCATGTACCTGTTTATGTCGACTACTAGTAGGTGGAAGTGAGCTGAACGAAAAGGAACCATCAAAACCCTAGTTGGACTCTGTTTCGTCATCTAATATCATGCAGTGTAATTTTACAAATTGACCTACATCAACGCTTCTAGCACAACAGTTTGTGTAAACGCTTCAGTTCTAAAGGCCGATAATTTGATTCCCGGAAAAGTCGATTTTCGTGTTTTTGTGGTTGACCAAGTGGTAAATTTCAAGAGCTGTAAATGTTACAACTATACTGCATTTCGTATCATTATATAGAGATTGTTTTTTGCCGTTTACCAAACAGGGGTCATATAGTATGTGTATCGTACCATGTACACATACAAAAACAGCTCTGCATCACTCAGACGATTTTGTCAACTCTTATTTGCATTTGTTTTGTTTCAGGCGCGCTAATTTGCGGTCCCATTCTGTCAAAAAGGGGCCTCCTCCCCGTCCGCCCGCTACCTTCCACACTACCCCTGATTTAGGCGGCTAAGATGCAGCGTCCATGCAGCTCTCCTCGCCTTTCATCGTCGCCACTGCTTTCATGTGCACCTTTACGCCAGTCCTTGTGCTCTTCAAGGTATTCGTCTCCAATGTGTTGTCATGTTGTCATGCTGCCATGCTGTTGTTCCGCCTACTTGGCCTTCCCCCTTGCCCGCTTTCTTCTCCTGGCCCCATCACTGCCCTCGCCGTCCCCTCTCATTCCTCGTTGTCTTATCTCACAATCTTCCGATGTCACCCTCCCCCTTCTTCATCTAGGTGTTTTCCCATGTGTTGTATTTTGAAATCCTGATGCTGTTAGTGCTTTCACCAACTGCATATGGCGCTTGGTCTTCATCCTCGCTTCAGAACTTTGTAAATGTTCTTGATGGATCTATTAGAACATTTTAGTATCATATGGTACCAGAATGTTGATTTTACTACTGAACATTGCATGCTTGTTTCGCAAAAACTACTCTGCCTCTCTAATTTGCCTATTATCAGTCTCACCAATTAATTTTATCTAGGTTTTTTAATTTAGACGAAATGAAATATGGTGGACCGCGTTGGTGAATCTCCTTATGATATGTAAAATTGATTGTAGAAGATACGGTAATTATGCAGCTTAACGAAGAGTATCAAGAAAGCATTCACTCGAGTAAGGTTTGGGGGTTTCCGCGGCTCGACTCTGTCAGCCTCGGGCATGGCTCGGGCTCTGTGCCAGCATAATCTGATGGCCATGGGGACTTTATCGACATGGCTTTTTGAGAGTTGCTCAAATTAGCGCACTTCGTTGTTCCAGGCAAGTATACTTCGATCAACAGCCCTAAGGAGCAGCCAACCTTGGTACACTGCCTACCCATGTCTCAGTGTGCAGATTGGTGAGCAACGGTTGATGTTGTGAACAGCCACATCACTGCGCATGGGGTCGTAGCCAAGGTGCACTTGCACTTCCCGACTTCTACATGACTTGGTGCTGAGCCAAAATGCCCCACAACACCGTGCCTGGCTCAGCAGCATTCTGGTTATGACATGTAATACTTTCCGCATTCATTTTGATGTTTCGCACACGACTAACATTTCCTGTAAATTGTCGGACAGCACGCGCGCTAGTGCACTACTGGTTCCTACAGCGCGCGCGCAAGCGCAACACTGTTCTCGTTCCGCGCCTGTTAGCAGAGCATGTCTACTCACTTTGCAGCGAATTTCCTCTCGGCTTGCAGTGGCTATGCGTGGGGAGCGACTCTGCTCGTCGCTCTCTTCGCTTCCATTTCGCTGTCTCTCGTGCATTCCACTACAACACCCTTCCCGAAACCTTCCCTTTCCTCCAAACCCACCCCTAGCCCTCCAACCTCCCTTCACTTCCCTCCCCTTCCCTCTCTCCCTTACAAATTTATCATCCCCTCTCACCTAGTCATTCACGAGTTTCTCGACATCCCTGACTCAAATTAGTCTTGGTAAGGTTCCATGGCATATCGGAGTCCACGGCTTCCGCTGTTGTGACTAAGCCTTATAAGTACTTCAGGTGACAAGAAGATTGGCTATAGATTGCTTAACAAGTTTCTTCGTACAGCAAGATCACGAGAATAGTTACCACTTACAACTAGGAACATTTATAAGGCGGGTGCTACCGTAATCAGGATTATCGCGGTAGCATTATCGGATTCTTATCCTAGCAAGAGGTTGCTTTATAGTTCTAAATTATTCGTTCGATAGTTCCTCGCCGTCGGGGTCAGAGAGAAAACTAGATATGTTTTTGCGATTCCTCGTACATCGTGAAGAGCGTTAGAATCTACTATGGTCGCAACGTTTCTAGGATGGATGCTGCGTATCATGGCGGGGGAATGACCATCGTAGAGAAGTATCTGGAGGAGATAATAGAATAGTAGATCAAAGATAGCATGCCATGTCTATTTCTCGTCTACTAACTCTCCTGTTTGTATGGTAGCTTCTGAAGTGCTAAGCTTGCAGATTTGTAGGTTATCCAAAACTGTCCCTGACATGAGTGATTGACGTCCCAACAATAAGCATGTCATGCGGGAGCTACCAAGTGTACAAAATTATGAGCTAGAGGCTGCCGCGAGCCAACTGGATTCTCCTAAATGCTCCTCCGTCTCAGGTTAATAATTCACCAGGTTCACCTTGCATCATCCTGTCAACTTTGACACAGATTCATGCTGGCGGCTCACTTCTTTCGTAGCCTGAAAGTGAATGGTTTCCTCAGTTGTTGCATCTCTCTTCAGGCTGGCCGTGGACGACATTCGTAAGCTTTCTCATTATCGAGTTGTACCACGTCGAGCAAACCTCAAACGGTGTTCTCTCCCCTCTTCACTTCTCCACCGCTGGTCCTCCCCATCAACTTATCTCTTCCTTTTGTCTGTCTCCTCTTGTTCTCTCATGCATGCCGGCCGTCAGCACCAGCCACACGAGGGAGTTGTACCACGTGGAGCATTACCCTGCTTCGCCCCCTGCACTATGTAATAAACTCATCTCTTGTGTCTACTCGTCTGTCCGCTTTGCCCACCTAAATTTGAAGGGGAAGATCCGAGTGTATGGCCCTTGTGATCGCCTAAATCCCTCATTCGCCTCCCTTCCCCATCCTCAACCTTGTCCCTTCTCTGCACTCCTCTCTCTTGAACCAATCCCCATCCCTATCATCACTGCCCTTTCTTCCTTTTCCCGCCTCCCCCTCCCATGCATCTAGACATGAAGGGGAAGATCCAGGTGTATGCGCGATGGCACATGCTGAGCAACAAGGAGCAGGGCGAGGGGAAGCGCATGGTGCTGGAGATGGCGGACGAGTTCACGCTGCAGCACCCCAACACCCTCAAGGAGGACGGGCTGCTCAATTCGTATCAGTTTGACCATGTATTCGACCACACCGCCAGTCAAGAGGCAATTTTTGAGGACTTACGTGTTAGAACTGGCTTTTAGGTGGCATAAAGGGGAGGATTCGACTGATTGTTTGCATCTGCCATTGCTGGAAAGGAGGCAACAGAGTAGCACAGAACACACCTGCTGGAGGTGTACTAAAGGAACACACCTTGCCCCGTCTTATCCATGTGGACATCTGCCCCCTTCGTTCCCTTGTTTAATCTTCTTTCCCTGTGCGCACCCCCTTTCCCCTCGTCGCAGTACCTGATCTGGTCGGCCATGGACAGGCACAACGTGAGCATCCTCTTACTGACTTCTTCTTGTATCCACCTGCCCCTCAATCCACCTGCTCCTTGCCCTCCACCCCCCCACCCACCCTGGAGTTCTTGATCCAGTCGGCCATTTACGGTCACAAGCATCTCCTTGTTAAAGCGCCCCTCATATTCTCACCCTATGGAGTCCTACCCACTGGCCGCTACCCTCCTCCCCATTCCCCTCCTTCCCCTCCTTTCAGTACCTGATCCAGTCAACCATTGATGGCTACAACGTGTGCATATTTGCGTATGGGCAGACGGGCAGCGGGAAGACGCACACCATCTACGGCGGGGATCAGAACTCTAGGCTCACGCCGCGCGCCATGCAGGAGCTCTTCAACGGGCTGAGGCAGCTGGCCGGGCACATGAACTACAAGCTGCACGTGCGGAGAATGATAAGGTAGGAGGCAGGGAGCTACAAGCTGCAGGCGGGGGGGCTGTTTGCTTAGCGAGGTGGACATTTGCTCTTCGTTTTCCCACTTCTATTTTGCCTTGCATTGCTCTTCGTTTTCCAACTTCTGTTGTGCCTTGCATTGCTCTTCGTTTTCCCACTTCTGTTGTGTCTTGCATTGCTATTCGTTTTCCCACTTCTGTTCTGCCTTGCATTGCTCTTCATTTTCCCACTTCTGTTGCGCCTTGCATTGCTCTTCGTTTTCCCACTTCTGTTTTGCCTCGAATTGCTCTTCGGTTTCCCCTCTTCCATTCTGCCATTTATTGCTCTTCAGTTTCCCCTCTTCTGTTATGCCCTTTCTTGCTCTTTGTTTTCCCCTCTTCTGTTCTGTCCTTTCTTGATCTTCGTTTTCCCCTCTTCTGTTCTGCCCTATATTGCTCTTTGGTTACCCTTCTGGCTGTTCTGCCCGGTATTGTTGAAACTTCACCAGGAACCGCTATTGCTACTGCTGCTGAGTCTTTCTAAAAGGGTCTCGTCAGATTCTCTCCCTCATCCCTACTTTGTTTCCCTCCTCGCGCTGTTTATGCACGTGTACATGCTGGAGCTGTACCAGGACACGCTGCAGGACCTGCTGCTCCCCAAGAATGCTGTTAAGAGGAAGTTGGAGATCAAGAAGGATGCCAAGGTACATGCACTATATAGCATACATGCTATTGTATCATGTTTTATGCTGTGACTATATAATGTTGAGTAGCGACGTGCTCAAACGTGCCGATTTGAGCAATGACAGGCACCTGCGTTACTTTCGCTATGCCTTCGCTATTGATGCTCCTCTTTCAGCCCCTTGAACAAGCTTGCAAGTCTCTAATCAGTTAAGCTGATACATGGAGAGCTGGATAATTGCTGTTCGGCACCTTCCGAACTGCTCTATTCCCAACAATATCTTTGTGCTGTGCTCATTCTCCCCTTTCCAGGGCATGGTCGTTGTGGAGAATGCCACACTGATCGAGGTGCAGTGCCTATCGCAATTGGAGGCAGTGGTGCAGGGGGGCATGGAGAGGCGCGACGTGGCTGCTCCGCCCTGCGCCACTCTCAACCGCTCTATACTCTGTCCATATCCTTGTGTTGTACTTCCCTCCCCCGGGCATGGTGGTGGTCGAGAACGCAACTCTGATTGAGGTGCAGTACTTGTCGCAACTGCAGGCAGTGGTGCAGGGGAGCATGGAGAGGCGTGCCGCGGCTGGCAAGCAAATGAACTTTGAGATATCTCGGTCGCACCTGATGCTATCGATCGTGAACGAGACAACTAACCTGCAGACCCAAAGTGTGTGCCGGGTAAAGTTGTGGGGGGGATGGGGGAGTGGGAGTGGATAATTGCGTATTTGAAAGGCATCGCATCCAGATTGTGAGCGTCTCTTGTGCTTGTATTCTGGTTTGCTCACAATCCCTCTCAACCTTAGCTTTTTTTGCTATATGATCCCTAACAGCACTCTCATCAAAAGCACAGCCTTTCACCTCCACCGGCAGGGTATGCAGGCTCAAGAAGGCCATCTATGACCTAAATCAGGCTCCTCGTGCATGGTATCACAAATCAGAGGAGACTTTGCTGGCTGGAGGATTCAAGAAGAGTGAGTGTGACCACAGCCTGTTCCTGCTACAAAAAAGGATCGGTTCCTCATGCTCTTGGTGTATGTGGACGACATCCTTTTTTTTTTTTTTTGTTTTCGGAGTCGTATGCAATGATTGACCGTATGGAGGAGATGCTGGAGATGCAGTTCAAGTGTTCCAAGATGGGAGATGTGAAGTACTACCTTGGGATGCATATAGAGAGGGACCTCGACATGGGAGTGTTGAGGTTGAACCAAAGGAAGTACAGCGGGGGCCTGACTGAGAATTATGGGATGTAGGATGGAGGCAAGCCAGCAACCCCACTGCCATCAGGGTTCACAGTGGAGCCATGAGCTGATGAGGATGTGGTGGGTGAGAGTGAGAGGAAGCTGTTTCGCTCCATGGTTGGGGCACTTAACTATGTGGCGAACCACAGTAGGCCTGACATTGCCTTTCCAACATCTAGGCTTGCCAGTGTGGTCTCACGCCCCAGTCATGAGCAGCTGGAAGCGGCCAAGAGGATGATCCGCTATGTGAGTGCTACAGTATCTGTGGGTTTGGAATACAATGCTGTGAGACAGAGACCGCAGAGGGGCGCAATTGATTTGAGCAAAAAGGAGATGCTTTTGACCTACTACACTGATGCTAGCTTTAGCTCAGTGAAGGCGGATTCACTAGCATTGCAGGCTTTGTGTGCCTGTTTGGAGGTGGTGCAGTGAGCTGGCGCAGCAAGAAGCAGAATGAGGTGGGGCTGTCCTCATGTGAGACGGAGTTTATGGCCCTACATCATGGGGCCAAGGAGGTGGTGTGGCTAAGGCGTCTGTTGGAGGAGATCGGGTTTGGGCGGAATGACTCGACAGTTATCTTCTGTGACAACTAGTCACCTGTGAAACTGGCCAAGAATGCTTGTCTGCATGGGCTAACAAAGCACATCAGGCCTAAGTGGCATTGGGTGAGGAGGCTCCTGGACAAGGAGGTGCGGCTGGAGATTGTGAAGACCCAACAGTAGGCGGTTGACATTTTCACCAAGTGCCTGGCTGAACCTGAGCATTGGAAGGGCATGAAGCTTGCTGGAATGAGTGTGCATTGAGGGTGCATGCATGAGCTGAGGCATGTGGGATGATGGTTGGCAGCCAGAGGGGGAGTTTGTTGTGTGATGCTATCATTTGCATTGACATTTGTCTTCCTCCCATCATATATTTCTGCCTTGCATGCGCGAGGAAGAATTTGTGTTCGGTGTGGTTTGGATTTTCTGAGTGTGTGTGAATGTTATTATGTTTGGGCAGATATCTGAAATGGGTTCTCTGCTCAAGAGCTTTCCGACGAACAAAAAATCGTCGCGATCGGAGCACGGACGAGAAAGTTACGAACGGTTGAAGTTCGTATGCTTTTGAAATTCGGTTGCAGCGACTTTGGAATTTGTGGAGTGATTTTATATGGGGTATAGACTCTTTGGGGTTGGGAAAATTCGTCTGTAGATGTTGCCAAGTGGATGTGAGAAGCCAAAGCAGGTTGGCAAGTGTGGCCAAGTTGGGGTGAGGTGGATTTAAGAGGTTGGATTGTGACAAAAGTAAAAGTGGGGTTCCTATAGCGAGGGGATTTTGTGTGATTGTGGGGTTTCCTTGGTTGGGGACTCCTTGGGGACCTTCCCTCTCGTCCTAGTCATCCTCTCCTTGCCACTAATTCTAATTTGTGGTTCTTGGTTGAACAATTTTTATAAAGTTTCAGCTCCAGCACACCCCCTAGAGCGCCGAAATTCATAACTCGAGAAATACTTCACCTTTTCGTGCGATTCAAATTGAAAATTGTAGCCACGGTCTAGGGCTACAACATATCCGAAGTTGGTGAACTTTTTGTCGACAACGTTTCTTGTGACGACGACTTTTTTGTCCAGAAACTTAGTCAACAATTTTGAGATATTTTGGCCTCCTGTCTTCCTAGACTCCGTCCTTTTTCTTAACAGAAAGACGTAGAGAATGTGGGATGGTCCCCCCAAAGCCTACTTCAGTGCTAGTAGCACGCTAGCTGGAGGGGGGAATGGGGACATGGGAGAGCTGGAGGAGGGGGGCAAGGGGAAGGCGATTGGGCGAGGGGCCGTCGGACCACCTGCCTGCGTGCCAGGGAGAAAGCGGGGAGGTCCCAGAGCCTGCGTCAGGGGACGGGAGGTCCCCTAGAGCTTGCGTCAGTGCCAGCAGTCCGCTGGCTGAGGGGAGGGGCGGGTTAGGAAAGGGGGAGAGGTGGCGGCACGGGGAGGGGAGGGGAAGAAGGGAGGCGATTGCCACCACCTCCTTGCCAGAAAGAAGGCGGGTTGGTCCCTCAGAGCTTGTTTCAGCACCAGCAGTACACTCGCTGGGGGGAGGAGAGAGAGGGGGAGGGAGAAGGGGAGGGGAGGAAGGCAGGAGGGGAAAGGGAACATGGGAAAGCGAGAATGGTCCCCCTTCCCATGTGAAACTCGCGTCCCACTCCGCCCTCACCCCTTGTGCATCTCACGTGGCGAGCAGCATAGGTGGCGGCTCGCGGCGGCGGAGGGCAGCATGGCACCATCGTTGCCGCCTTTTGAGGCACCTCAATACACGCTAGCACCTCCGTCGGCACGGACAAGGCGCGTGTGGATGTGCCTTTTCCACCCGTCTGTCCGTTGGAGGAGAGGGTGAGAGCAGAGCACGTAGGTGTAGGAGAGCAGGGAGTGCAGCATACGGGGCCGCCGGGTTGGAGGTGGCAGCAACGCACGCAGGGGAGCAAATGGAGCAGTCGAACAATGTAAAAAAAAAAAAAAAAAGTTTAGAGATTATAATCGATTTCTTCGTACTACTACAAACCAATGTGCCGCCTCCGTTGCCCCATTGACAAAAGCCTCTCTGTCCCCCCATCATCTGCGACCCCCTTCCCCCCTTCCCCCTCCCCCCTGGCCGTGCGCACCTGGTTGAGCAGCAGCTTCTCCGCCGTCCTGCGCAGGTTGATTTGCGCGTTCTCCCACTGGTGGCGGCGCGCAAGGATGGTGCTGTGCTTGAGCGCGGGCGGGGCGGCTGGTGAAGCGCGGAGCGGGTGGATGCACAGGAAGAACAGCTTACACACGCGCCGCCGTTAGCCCAGTAGGTGTGCATCTAGCAGCAGCTCGGCAGGGATGCAATGGCGTACGTCGGCGTCTAGAACCCATCACATGTCGAGCGTTGAGCGTTGTGTGAGCAGACGGAAGCCTGCGGTGCCCAGCTGCGACAGGGACGGCATGTCGTTTGGGGCGCACGGACGCACGAGCGGAGAGGCGGGGGGCGAAGGAAAAATATGCACAAGTGCACTTCCAATTGGCACTGCTGTGTGAAGCTAATGGCATGAGCGAGGCGCTGCCTGCGGCACATTTAGGTCTACGAATCAATGGTGTAGGAGAGCACTTGAGACTGCTTGTTT